CAATACATAATTTCTCTTAAATAAATGTACAAGTCACGTATTAACTACATTATTGTTGTAAACATTGACGCCCGATAAATTAATCGTCATTGTTTAATGTAGGGATAAATGACGTGTGCAGAGAACAACAATTGATCCTAAAAATAGGTATGCAAACGGGTATTAATTAGCGCAGTAAAAATAATGAGTTTTTTATAGTCTTGTGATATGAAAAAAAAAAGATTAGCCACATATTTTGCTTTGGCGTAAGATAGAAGAACTGCCTGCCAATAAAATATAAGATCATGGCATACGTATCAGTGTATTTCGGATGTTAGCATACAGAATATCAAATCTTAGCATAGTATCTACATAGAATGCATGTTGCAAGAAGACTGATAGACTAGTCGCGAAAGATTCGGAGGTCAAAACTGTAAAGTTCAAATTATTGAACGATACAGACCATCCACGTGTATTTTATTTTTATTCTCGGAATACATTAAGTTTTAAGTAAAAGCATCAAGATCATGTCTGCATTTGTTCGGCCCGGAAATGGTTGGGGTTCGTCTAAGATTCAAATGGGTATTCGAATGGTTTTGGCATTGGAGCTTCTTCCTCTTCTTGCACTTCGGCAGCTACATTATCATTAACGAAATTAGTAATATGCTAAAAGTTAAATTTTTGGGCATTATAAATTACTTACCAACTGGTGCGCTGGGCAAGATTAGCTCTTCCGCTTCATCGGGTCTCCTGTCTATCATCATGGTGATGCCACCAGTAATCTCCTATCAGACGAAAAATATGTAAGCATACAATAGCATACTGATAAAATATGTCACATTACAAATAGACGATCAATACTTTTTTCACAGGAATATATCGTGAATCATCTTTAAATGATATATGTTGCAACTGTGCAGGTAGTACGCGCGCCATATTTTTGAGAATTTCAAAGGACTCTTCTTTCGGTTTCTTCTTGGCTTTTTTATCTTCCTTTATTTCTTCCTGCTGTGGAGGCTAATACGACAAAGTCTGTCAACAAACTGTACATAGACGTGCAGTTTTGAAAAAGTTATTGACATACCTTGTCTTCTTCTTTCTTCGTTTTATCCTTCGCATCATCCTGAAATTCATTGAAAGAGGCGAATTAATAACTTTCAAGTAAATATTTATGACACTGATGCGTTCGTACCATATCCATAGCTTCACCATCTAATCCCTTTTCTTTCTCTGATTTTCGTGCCCTTGCTTTGG